ACGTAAGTGAACAGGAGGACGTAAGTGAACAGGAGGACGTAAGTGAACAGGAGGACGTAAGTGAACAGGAGGACGTAAGTGAACAGGAGGACGTATGTTCATGTGCAAGTGAATGGATGAGTTTGTATCTGTGAGCCTTTAAAGGCGTATATGGTGAAAACAAGCACGTCAGCACCCTGAAGTCTGCCCTACAGCTGTGATGCTGTAGAGCAGCGGTCTCCAACCTTTTTTGGGCCACGGACCGGTTTATGCCCGACAATATTTTCATGGACCGGCCTTTAAGGTGTCGTGGATAAATACAACAAAATAAAACCAGTACCTGTACCGAAAAAAGAAGATTTATTCATAACACACGTGAAAAGAAAGAAAAGGAAAACCGAGTTAACGATAAAAACGATAACAAAATAACGCTGAAAACCGATAAAACCCTGAAAACCAGACATTTCACACCTGAGCCTCAACTCTCGCGGACCGGTACCGGTCCGAGTCCCGGGGGCTGGGGACCGCTGCTGTAGGGCTTAATCATTCATTAACTTTCATTAAACAGCTGTACTGGTGCATTTCTGTTGGTCTGGGGGTAAAGAGCTTTTATTTTTATATATTGAAATAATCTCATTTATTTAGCAAATTTAAAGTGAAAACATATAATGTGGCAGAGGTGCTGAAATAAAGAGGGTGTAGTTGACCCCATGACCCCTGTTAGACTCCCCCTGTTGTTCCAGGATCACTGTGATTGAAACGCTGCATCAGTTACACGTCTGTAGATTTCTGCTGTGTGGGACAAACACCGTGGATGGCAGCTGTTCCAAACGTAGCTTTTCTTCACTGTGAGTTTATCCGTCAGGTGCTTTGATAGCCGACTCCCTCCGGCTGTTTCCAGCAAAGGTTTAAATATTGATCGCAGTAACGAGTGCCGCCGTTTCTGGATGTTTTGCTTCACCTCTCTGCACTTCTTGGTATCTTTATGTAGACACAGTGTCATCACCACTGCAGCTGTTACGGTGAAAGGTTCTTAGATAGCGTTTCTCTGCACGCGGCACAACTTCCCTCATTCCTCCATTCACACGTTTATTAGTACAGTTTTTATCGCTAAGCATCCGAATCTCAATAAACTTTACTGAAAATCTTCTTGTGTACAATCAACATTTAAATGTGATTTCAAACGTTTGCATCCAAGAAGTCAAATAAATCAACTTTTCTCCACCGTCTTTACTCCCATCATCACCTGTCTGCATGTGGTAGGACTAATGTCCACACATAAACAGTGTTTATGTCTTTCTGCCAGTTAAGGTCTTCTTGTCGCTGTGGTGGAGTAAACACGTCTGTAACCTTTGGATGAAATCAGACGCTCGATTCATCAGGACAGGATCAACTTTCTGGGATTGTCGGATATTTTAGCATGAATCAAAATGCTTCTACTGTGTCAGCGAGAGTTTGTAGTTCACTGCATCATTTCTTTGTGTGAATCAGGTGACAGCATGGCTCTTTGGTCTGAAGGCCAGGTTGATTCTGAAGGAGAGAGTGAAGGTGAAAGAGTGAATGATGAAGAGAAAGAAGAGGATGAAAATGAACATAATGAAGATGCCAGCACTGGATGGGCTGAAGCCATGGCAAAGATCCTCGGGAAGAAAACCACGAGCGGCATCCTGGAGAAGAACAAGGAGCTGGAAAAGATGAAGGCAGCAGAGAGACAGGAGCAGCTCGAGAGGAAGAAACAGGTGAGCGCCGAGTCCCAGGCTCAGGATGATGTGTCCGAGCAGATGTTCATCACTCACCGAGCACAGTTTCCACATTTGTTCATCACTGTCGACAAGAAATGACAACGTTCGACTTATAATAACAAGTTATAATAAGTAGGCGAGTTTATTTTCATGTTTTGGCTCTAAAGACGACCATAAGTATAAACTAGTGATTGAACACAGGAACCAATCAGGAAAGCAGGCAGACCTTAGACACTGTGCTCTGCTCACAATGTTCATCCACATAATAATGTAAAATCAAAACTGCACTGTGACCAGCTGTGTTTGAAAATATATATTCATTCATTTCCTCCTTGTTGAACACTTTCAAAAAAGCAACACTTTTATTTCTAAGCCTTGAAAACCCAAAGATTGTGTGTCCCTAACAGGCTGACGAGAAGAAAGCGTGGGAGCAGATGTGCAGGGAGAAACCTGACATAGTGACGGACCGCGAGACTGAGAAAGCATTACAGAGAATTGCTACAAGGTGACCACTCCGTTTGCTTTGTCTTTGTTTGACGTATATGCAACCGAGCATCTGTTCTAATGTGGTCCTCCTTCACTCAGAGGGGTGGTTCAGCTGTTCAACGCTGTCAGGAAACACCAGAAAACTGTGCAGGAAAAGGTGAAGGATGCTGGTGGATCAGACAGGAAGAGGGCAAAGATCCTTTGTTCTGTCTCAAAGAAAGACTTCATCGATGTGCTGAGGAGGGAAGACGGAGGTGTCCGAGCAACGGGCAAGACCGAAAAGGCTGCTGTGAGTTGACAGATGTTTGTTTCGTTCTGTACCTCTGCTGTCAGTGTGTTTATCCTGATGTTTCTGTGTGTGTGCTCGTGCAAAGGTCGCTGCTGTGGAGAAGCCTGCCTGGACTGTTCTCAGAGAGGACTTCATGATGGGAGCCACAATGAAAGACTGGGACAAAAGCAGTGACCAGGACGAGCCACAGGAGGGAAACAGTGAGGCAGCGATTCAGATCTGACATCAGCCGTGCACACTGAAAGGCTGAGCTCAAAGACCGTCTGGGAAAAACCAACAGGAGACCCTGAACTGAAAAGACGAGCTTTAGCGTCAGCACACGCCCGTGCACCCACACGTGCACGCTCACGTGCACCGCTGCGTTGGAGATGTACAGTTTTATATTTGTAGCTGAATAAATTTTGACAGGTGACTGTGAAACATACTGAATGTGGACTGTAGCAGAGAACATGTTAAACTACAAATTTCTTCACAGATTCATTCAAATGCAAAACTGTTTGTTTGTTGACACTGGAGAAATGCATCCTTCATGTTAACAGTTTTCTATTCAACAATAAATGTGTGTATGCTGGTGTGTACTACACGCTCACAGGTGGAACAGCCTGTTACATCAGCTGCTTTCAGACTGATTTTAGTACACGAGTCGAGCAGTGCGGCTACAAGCAGGGGGTGTGGCAACTGCAAAACTAGTCTTGTTATCATCTATCGTCCACCTGGGCCTTACAGAGTTTGTCTGATTTCTCAGACTTTATATCTGATTTAGTTCTGAGCTCAGATAAAATAATTATTGTGGGTGATTTTAACATCCATGTAGATGCTAAAAATGACAGCCTCAACATGGCATTTAATCTGTTATTAGACTCAATTGGCTTCTGTCAAAATGTAAAAGAACCCACCCACCACTTTAATCACACTCTAGATCTTGTTTTAACATATGGCATAGAAACTGAACATTTAACAGTGTTTCCTGAAAACCCTCTGCTGTCTGATCATTTCCTGATAACATTTACATTTACAATAATTGATTACACAGCGGTGGAGAGACTTTATCACAGTAGATGTCTTTCTGAAAGTGCTGTAACTAAGTTTAAGAATATAATCCACCCACTGTTATCATCTCCAATGCCCTGTACCAACACAGAGCAGAGCAGCTGCCAACAATGGTCTAAAAAATTATATATTTTAAAATAAAATAATTAAACATACAAACCTAAAATGGGTTAAGCTACATTCTGGAGCGTGTTCCTGGATTGCAGTAGCTAGGGAGCTGATTGGAGACAATAACAGCCAATCAGCAGGTTTGCATCCAAGTCTGTGATTGGTTGGTTTTGTGGCACATTTATAACAGTGTTGCGTGTGCAGGGAGCAGAGATGTTAGTGGGAGGGGCTATATTCTGTGTGTGGATAATCGCAAACACCGAAACACATTTATTGCACGCAGCAATGAATTTTGTTCGCTCAAAATAGTTTTCTCCTCAACACGCAACATTTGCGCTCGCAAATTTATTTATTTATTTTTACGTGCGCTCAGAATAGAGGCACTAACATAACGCCATAGATCTGAGGTGATTCTGAGGATCACCACGACCTTGCATGGAATGGATTACGACTAATATGATATATGATGAGATAGTATATTAGTCCGTGTGGTGTTTTGAAATTTGGTTCCAAGGTCAGCTTTGTCCTCGGGCAGTGAAGGTCAAATGCTGAGCCCACCTAGGTACGTATGTCCCCCACGGGACATAATTATTAGAAGCAGCCTACTTCACACCGACCCCCCCTCCCCAAGGGAGAATAAAACAAAACATTTTTTTAAAATGCAATTTAATGAATTATAAAAGAAACTAATATGGAAACTAAGGCAGGGCAGGGACAATACAGAAGGAAAGGACCAAAGTGCTGTACAAGTTCAAAACAATAGAATAACAGAAAACAGCACAAATAACTAAATAAAACACATAAAAATTAAAACAGCCATATATTAAAAAAGAAAACAAGATAAAAGAGCATAGAATCAACTAAAAACAACTAAAACAAGACTAAACAATAAAAAGCAACTTCTCACGTGGTGTCAAAGGTCAGGGTAGAGAGGTGGGTTTTCAGGAGTGACTTAAAAACAGGTGGTGAAGGAACTGGATTATAGGCTGGTAAAAAGGACCAACTGGGTCCTGGCCAGTTCCCAGACTCCACAGAGGAACTGGGCGAGACTGTAACAGCTACCACAGGTCTTTCATCCCAGCAGCTGTCAGACTGCACAGTGCCCACAGATACTGTCACCTACATGTTGTCACTCCAGCTGCACCTCATGTGCACAGGATAGAAATCTTGGTATATTTGACTGTAAGCTGTATGCAGCATCTTATTTCGGCTTCACTGTTTCCTGCTGTCACTTGTGTTGCTGTGATGTGGATCAAATGAAGCAAAAGAAATGTAAAGAAAACAAAATACTAGTTGAAATTATTCTTTTAAACTTATTCTTCTGAATAAGTTTAAAAGAATAATTGAGGCTTGAGGATCTGGATGTTTCTCATCTTCCCTGAATCAAAAGTAAGTTTGATGTTCTTTATTATTATGGTTGCAGTCGTCCTACAAAAACAGTTAACACTGGACCAAACGTTGCCACTGGTCTGTAGGCATTTGTTTATAAGCCAGGTAACATTGCTCTAGAGTGTAAGTGGCATCTGTGACTGGAGATGGTCTGAGGTGATTGTGTTTGGTCCTAGCGGACCTTCTAACCCTCTGCTATTGACTCGGGACCCCTGGCAGAGTATTTTAAACCTGTTGTCACTAATCTGGGTTTTAAGATGGACGCTCAAATTAGGGCCAGTTTTTATCATTTAAGGCGTTTGGCAAAGGTAAGACTATTTTATCCAGGCCGCATTTTGAAACAGTGCGTGCTGTTATTTCATCTCGTTTGGATTACTGTAATGTGCTGTGTTTTGGAGTTAGTCGGTGTCTTCTCTCTCGTCTGCAGCTGGTCCAAAATGCTGCTGCACGACTTTTAACCAGAACTGGTAAAAGAGAGCACATAGCTCCCATCCTCGCCTCACTCCATTGGCTGCCTGTTCATCTTAGATTTTCAACTCTAATGTTTGTTTTTGCTCCACCTTACCTCTCTGAGCTTCTGCATCCTTACTCAGACCCCAGGTCTCTCAGGTCAGCTGACCAGCTGCTCCTGGAGGTACTCAGAGGGGGCGGGGCCTTCTCCGCCCCAGCACATTAGAGAGGCCCCTTCACTGTCCACTTTTAAAACACGTCTTAAAACCCATTTTTACTCCTTGGTATGTGACACAGTCTGACCCTGATTTTGTTGTTTTAAATTTAATTCTAATTATGATATTATACTCTTGCAACTCAAATATGAATCCTGAAGAGCAGCATGCACATTTAAGAATCACATCAGAGTGTGAATAATAGAGAGAACGCAGCAGAATAAAGGAAAAAGTCCTTGTATGAATGAGTGTACCAGAGATGGGCAGTAACGCGTTACTTATATAAAATATAAGAGAAAGAGAGAACTTTAAGAAATTAATAATAACTACAGTGACATCAAAACCATGAAAAATATTAAACAGTTTATTTTGTGACACCACAAAACAAACGATAGCGTAATAGGAAACGACAGACGTTTTTATATATATCCGACATATATCGTTATATCGAACAGCCCTACTGGAAAGGAAAACTCAATGCATCATGGGAATCCCCGGCAGCCTACACCTATTGCAGCATAACTAAGGGAGGATTCAGGGTCACCTGGTCCAGCCCTAACTATATGCTTTAGCAAAAAGGAAAGTTTGAAGCCTAATCTTGAAAGTAGAGATAGTGTCTGTCTCCTGAATCCAAACTGGAAGCTGGTTCCACAGAAGAGGGGCCTGAAAACTGAAGGCTCTGCCTCCCATTCTACTTTTAAATACTCTAGGAACAACAAGTAGGCCTGCAGAGCGAGAGCGAAGTGCTCTAATAGGGTGATATGGTACTACAAGGTCATTAAGATAAGATGGGGCCTGATTATTTAAGACCTTGTATGTGAGGAGCAGGATTTTGAATTCTGGATTTAACAGGAAGCCAAAACAGGAGAAATCTGCTCTCTTTCTAGTCCCTGTCAGGACTCTTGCTGCAGCATTTTGGATCAGCTGAAGGCTATAAGACCACACAGCTGTGAGATGTGGTCATGTTTTCAGCTGTTGTCAGCAGTTCTATACAGCGATTTTATAGTCAGAATTATCCTGACAAAGTGCCTCTGTGTCTTAAAATGCCATTTTTATTGTTGAATTATTGACTTTCATGAGGTGCAACTTCAAAGTTCTGTATTTAGAAGCAGGAGCTTTGATAAATCATCATATTGGCATTACGACTGTCATAATATGAGTTATCATAGTTATATTACAAAATCTGAAGAAAAATATGCTTTTAAAAATGTCTGAGACATGAATTTAAACATAATTATTTTTTAAAGTATATTAATAAAAAAGTTTAGGTATCAGGCTTAATAAGACAGGCTGATGATCTATGTCAGAACATATGTAAATATTTAGACAACAGTGTACATCTGTAAGCTAAAACTGTAATAAAAAGAAATTTAGAACAGTAATCAAAGGTAACTTTGATATGTGTGGAGGCCCATTCACTGCAGTACATATCCACAGCTACATGATGGACTGACTCTGTCTTTGGTTACATCATATTGTATATTATTAGCTGTGCGTGACATGAAGGGCCCACACGTACACACTGTTAGGTACTCTGTGCAGCTGTTGATCCTGGTGCAGACTCCCCCTCCGGTCCCAGCTGAGAACTGAAATAGCAGCCCCGATCACTTAAATCAGTGATGGTTTGTTAGGATGAGGTAAACAACGACAGGTTGGCCCCCCCCCCCCCCCCCCCCTTACCTGCTGGGACAAAATGGCCCCAAGCCCTCTGCTTGAGGCATCTGTCTGCAGAATAAAAGGAGTAAAAAATCAGGGGTGTGGAATAGAGACCCCACAGAGAGCCTTCTTCATGCTCCCTGGCACTGCTCGGTCCACTGGACTAGATGTGGGGCCCTCTTTCAGGGCTGTCAAAGTGCCGGTCATTTCTGCAAAGTTCAGCACGAACCTAGTCAATAACAAGTGAACCCCAAGAACCGTCTCACCTCTCTTTTGTTCTTGGAGAAAACAACAGCCATCACATCCTGCCTGTGTCCCGACTGCACCTGCCCGCCTCCCAAGTGGTACCCAGATACTGTATCTCCCTCAGTCCAACTGCAAACCTCTTGGAGTTAGCTGCAAGCCACACCTGCCTCGGGGACTCCAGGACCGTGGCCACCGCGGACACATGTTCTGCCCAGGTGTCACTACAGATGATGATGTCATCCAGGTAGGCAGCAGCATATGTTGCACAGAGTCTATAAGTGGCTGGACTTTGACCAATTTGTCACACTTCCATTCAGCACACTGTACAAGTTGAGAACGATTCCTTGGACTCTGCAGGCAGGGAATCTGCCCTGGGTTCAATCCAGTCCCCAAGCGAGCAGTGCCTAACGTGTCCAGGACCCCATCAAGCTGGGGCATGGTATAGGCATCAAACTGTGACACTTGCAGTAATCGACACAGAACAGTATGGACCCATCTT